GCCTGCAGGCATATCGCAGAACGAGCTGGAGCATCGGGACACGACACAACGGATCTCTGAATTAATGCGTTCCCGAGGCTGGAGCCATGAAGCATCGATTCGCGACGAAGAGCTGCCTCAGCGACGTCGTTCTTTTCTGTGCGTGTGTGAACCTCTGGAGCTCTGGACCCTTTCTCGTTGACGGTGTCTCGTCTTGAGCAAACTTGTCGATTGTCCGGGGCTCGAAGAGGGCCTCCAGAAGCCAGGGTCCAACGACACACATGCCAGCCGTCACGATTATGGTATCACGCAGACTGTCTGGGTTCTAGCCCCCGTGGGGAGGGGCCCTCAGGGCGGCTGGACAGCGATGGGCCGTTCTGATGACGCCGCCACCAGCTCTCTTCGTATGTTTGTTTACCGTTTTGTTCGTTCTCTCTCTCGCTCTCTCTCTCTCTCTCTATCGTTCTCTCTCTGTTTTTCTCTCTCTCTCTCTCTGTTTTATGTGTGTTTGTTTCTCTCTCTATATATGTTTATATATATATATATATACACATCGGTGTATGTATGTATGCATATATATATATGTGTAGATGGACAGCGCCCCCCCCTGCACCCAGTCTTATCTGCATTCACTTACGACGGTAGTGCTCTTCCGTTCCTGTCCTCCTCCTCATCTTTCGTTCTTTCTCTCTCCTTTTTTTTTTCTCTCTCTCTCTCTCTCTCTTTCTCTCTCTCTCCCTCTGTCTGTCTGTCGCTCTCTCTCTGTCTCTCTCTCTCGCTCTCTCTCTCTCTCTCTCGCTCTCTCCCTCCCTCTCCCAGACACCCATCACAATCCGTGTGACAACACCAGGTTTGCGATGTCGCGGGTGCGGAAGTCTGGTGTTTTCATTCGGGTGTTTTGGGATATCCGGGATGAGAAGTGAGGCGACCATGTGTTTCCAGGTATTTGTTTGTTTTAGATTTAGGGGGGCTTCCTCTCCTCCGACGAAAATCAAACCCACGAGCCCTCCCAGGAGCTCCGATCCCTAGAACCCCCCACATCCCCAACATCTAAATGAAACCACGTGGCCTCCTCACTTCTCATCCCAGAAATCCAAAAGCAATTACACGCACTAGGTTTGCAATGTCAGGTGTGCGGAAGCCTGGTGTGTTCATTTAGATGCTTGGGGTTTCTGGGATGAGAAGTGAGGAAACCATGTGTTGTCATTCGGAGTTCATGAGGGCTTCGCAGCCCCCGCCCCCTCCCACCCTGGAGTAGATCTTGGCTGCTTGGGGCGCCTGCGTCGAGCAGGCAGAGTCTCCTCCGTGGGACGCACTGCTGCAAACAGTTGCATTCAGCAGAGGTCCACAGCCAGACCCCCCCTCGCCCCCCACTTGCGCCCAATGTCAAAACGCCGAATCAGAAAACGTCCGCTTGAACATATGCGAGGATCTGGGAAATGGAGGGGAAGAGGAGCATCCAGTACAGATGGAATCATCGAACATCCAGGATCATCCAGGGCAGTGTCGCTTTGTTTGCACCCCCCCCCCGGGTTGTCTGTGTCCCCCCTGGGCCTCTTGACTTTGCGCGGCCCGAGCTGCCCTTCCCCCTGGCCGCGGCGGCCAGGCCGCCCCCTCTGCCGCAGTGGCGCCTCTGGGAGCGGTGGGGCAGCAGGGGCCGGGGTGGGGACTCCTCTGCGCGTCGGGGGCACCCCCCCAGACACTCACCGAGCGCGCTGCACTACTCGCCAAGTGCTTGCTCCCGAAGAAGAAATAATACGCCAAAAGTTCTTGTTCAGGGCGCTTGTCCGTCTTCTAGATTCGCAAAGTTCCCACTCGCAAGCGCCTGACAAAAAAAAACGCTTGTTTGCCTCGGCGTCGCGGATCGTAGATTCCCTCGCGGCGGATCCAGGCCATTGGCGAGCGGCTACTCGGCGAGTCGTGGAGCGCGCTTGTCTGGACATTTTTGCGTCGCCGCGCGGCAGAGGCCGTCCGCACGCGCGCTCCGGCGGCCTGGGACACGGCAGACGCAAAATCATCCAGCGGCAGGAGGGGCCGAAAGCGGCCGCGGGGAGGAGGAGGAGAATGAGGAAGAAGAAGAAGAAGAAGAAGAAGAAGAAGAAACGGAGGAGGAGGAGGAGGAGGAGGAGGAGGAGGAGGAGGAGGAGGAGGAGGAGGAGGAGGAGGAGGCGGGGAGACGGGCGAAAGCGGCCGCGGGGCGCAAGGGAGGGGGGGGGAGGGCGCTCCCGCGGCGCGGTGCAGCGCCCCGGAGCGGCCCTGGAAAAAAACGTCAGGGCGGAGGCGCTCTGCAGTCCGTCTGCCGGGGGGGGGGGCCTCGCCGGGCCGCGGGGCGGCCCTCCACCGACGGCTCGGGCTGAGAATCAGGAGGGGAACAAACAGAAAAGCTGGGAAAGAATATGAGAAGGGGGGGGGAGACGAAAACCCAGAACGTATGGGGAAATAGGGGGGGAATCCTTTCTAATAGGTGTGTATTTATTTGTGTGCCCCAGGGCCCCTTCACAAGCGGGAAACTACGGGAAGTGGGGGGGGGGGGACGAAACCCCAGAAAAGATGGAGAAATTATGGGGAATCCTTTTATTTGTGTGCTTTTATTGTGTGTATATTTGGGAAATGTTGGGAATATTGGGAATCCTTATATTGTGCGTATTTTGGGGAATATTGGGAATCCTTCTATTGTGTGTATTTTTGGGAATCTTGGGAATCCTTTTCTTGGCGTGCCTTTGTCTGTGTGCCCCCAGGGGCCCCCTTCCGAGGAGCCCGGCCCCCGGGGAGCCCGGGCCTTCCGGGGGGGGGGGGGCAGCGCGCCGAGAGAGAGGGGGTCCGGGCAGCGCGCTGCGGGGGCTCCTTCCTGTTGCCAGCCTCGAGCGCATCCCTGTCCCTGAGATATGACACGCCAAACGGCGATGACAATCTTAGGGATCCGCCCTCCAAAGATAAGGGAGTCCCTAAGATTGGCATCGTGCTAAGGAGGTGCCCAGCACAGGGATAGGGAGATGTTCCAGGCTGGTAATCCTGGGGCGCGGCGCCAGGTGCGGCATCGGCGCTGGGATAGCCGTGGTCGAGAGCAGGCCTACTCCAGATTTCGTAAGAAAGGGAGGGGGGTCTCATTTCGGGGGGGGGTCTCTTCCAGGCTGTCTTGGAGGGCCTGGGGGGGTCTGGGGACGACGTTTTGGAGGGTTCTCCCACGGGGGGGGGGTCTAAAACTTCTCGTCTGGGAGGGTCCAGACCCCCTCCCTTTTATTACGAAATCTGGAGTAATCTGGCATAGCCCCGCCGAATTCCGCTCAATCCCGCTTCATCCGGCCTGTTCCATCGTGTGGCCTCATCCGGCTCAGTGGCCCCTTCGTTGGGGCGGATTGCCTCCGAATCAATGCGTGAGTTTGTGTTCGCCGCCTTGTGATTATCGACGGCGTGGGCTCTGGGGAGCAGTGGGTCGGGATGACTGCGCGGACGCGCGCGGCGGCATGCTCGGACGGATAGTTTCTTGGCCATGCGTGCGTCTCTTCGAGCTCTGCCTGTTCTGGCAGGGGGTGCGTAGGCCGTCGTTGTGGCGGCGGGAGAGAAGAAGAGGAGAAGAAGTATGACTGAGTGGCGGAGAAGGAGGACGAGGAGGCTGAAGAGGAGAAGAAAGATAGTGATGATGATGCTGATGATGATGATGATGATGATGATGATGATGATGAGGAGGAGGAGGAGGAGGAGGAGGAGGAGCAGGAGGAGCAGGAGGAGGAGGAGGAGAAGGAACGGCAGAGTGTAGAAGCAGGGCCAGGGTCAGGAATCGCAGCAGGACCAGCACCAGGAGTGTAAGTTTGAGGAGGAGGAGGAGGAGGAGGAGGAGGCGCAGCAGGAGGCGCAGCAGGAGGACCACGAGGCGCCGGGCACAAGGATAGCAATGCTTAACAGGATGATGACGATAGTGAGGAGGAGGAGGAGGAGGAAGAGGAGGAGGAGGAGGAGGAGGAGGAGGAGGAGGGCAATGAAGAGGTGGCGAGGATGCGAAAGAGGAGGGCGAGGATGAGTTCGAGGAGTGTAGTGCAACGAGGCAGGTCGGAGGAGGCAGATGTGAGGCCTCAGGGCGGGTAGGAGCGGGGAGCAACAGGAGGAGGAGGAGGAGGGAGGAGGGAGGAGGGAGGAGGGAGGAGGGAGGAGGGAGGAGGAGGAGGAGGAGGAGGAGGAGGAGGAGGAGGAGGAGGAGGGAGGAGGAGGGAGGAGGGAGGGATGAGGAAGAGGAGATGAAGGTGGATGGGGAGGGAGGGGGGGAGGGAGAAGCAGATCCGCCTTCTCTATCTGTAATTGGGTCTTGCCGAATGGCAGTTGCTCGAAGGAGCGACGTGTCCGAGTTTGTGGCTCCCCTAGGCAGAGAACAAACTGATCCTGTACGGCGGCATGTCCCTGTCCGACGCGACTCCTTACGACACGGTGCACGTGTACGAGGTGACCGACGACACCATCAACGGTGGATCCATCAGCGGATTCTGGTCACTGGTGGACGATGGGACCACGACGCCAACCGCGCGAATGCAGCATTCAGCTGTCTTCAACGAGGCCATTCCGGCTACGCTGCCGTTCGCTGAGTTAGAACTCGTCGTTGCCGTCAGGCTTTCATCCGAATAGTGCCGATGGTTTGAAAACCCGCTGCAGAGACGACGTCGCCAAATTAGCTGCGATCAGATCTGCGGGCACTGGGTCTGCGCATGAAGTGCGAAGCTACGAGACGTATGCGCACCGAACAGCGTTCGAGGTGTCCAGACAGCTGAGCGGGCGCTCTCCAGGTTTCCCGGCTTGCCTGACCAGAGTCCCGTCGCTATGCTGGGCAATATTCTGGCCGTCGGCAGAGGCACAGGGAATCGCTTTCGAGAGGGAGGGAGATGGACAACTGTTTCGTAACCTTCGACCGATCCCGCCTCGGGGGCCCAGGGTCTTCCTGAATGGGCCTTGGAGCCTCGCCGGAGCCAGTCCTGAGCCCCTGGAGGGCCTCATGGGCCCCCCGGAAGGCCTCTTTCGGGGGGCCCTTGACGTTCTCTCGCGTCGAGTCAGTGGGGGACCACGTCCGTCCCCAGACTGTCGCCTGCCTCGGCGCCGCGGCAGCCTCGGATGGCCACGGGCTTGTCTCGGCTGGCCCTCCCTCGGCCCTCCCTCGCCTCGGCTGCTCCGGGGCATCTCGAGCATGGCGCGGCCAGCGGTGATGCCGAGGCCCGCCGTGTTGGGAGAGCAGTGGTCGTCCTGCCCGGGGGCGCGCCGATGTCGCCCGGATCTGAGTTACAGCGGAGACATCTTATAAGAAGTCTTGCTGCAAACATCAGGGAGGGGAAGAAACACACAGGCGCAATTGATCGTCGACCCCCAGGAAAATATGGGAAATATGGGGAGTGGGGGGGAAGACGAAAAGTCAGAAAACATTTGAAAATATTTGGAATCCTGGGATTTGTGTCTATTTAGTTGTGTGTCCCAGGGCCCCTTCAAAGAAGTCTTGCTTAAAAACAATTGGGGGACGCACGTTTGTCGTCGAGCTCTGAGCTTCCAGGGGTGGCCCAGGGCTTCGTGTGGTTCCCCATGGGTCTCTGGGCGATGCGACGTGTCCCCGGGGCGTCTGCTGGCAGGTGGGTTTCTTATCTGGGGCGTTCTCGAGGATCGAAGGAGTTGTTATCTCTTCCTCGGCGGAAGGCGGCCGAAGGGCGGCGACAAGTCGGCGGAGGTAAAACGAGGCCTCCTCCGCCGGCGGAAGCTCGGCAGAAGGCAGCAGAAGTTTAAAAGTTGACCTCCAAGAGATGAACACGTTCTTGGGCTCAGGGCCTCCGACATCCCCAACATGTCCCTGGGGCCTCTGCTGCCACGATGCGACGTGCCTGCTGCAGGGTCGCAAGAGGCCGCGCACACCCGTGCCGTCGTCACCCCGACCACTGCGAAGGTCGGAGCTGGGGGATCGTTGGGCTCACGGTGCCGCCTCTCAGTGAGTGTATTCATACCTTTGACGCGCAGGGCGGCCAGTCGCCGACCAGGGAGCCGAGAGGGGGCAGTGCGGCAGGGACAGGAGAGCCGCACGGCCAGGCAGGTGCGAGAAGGGGCGGCGGGATGCAGCGGAGTGGGGATACTCTTGAGAGGGGGCATCGAGGATTGCAGGAGAGGGGCCCCGAGATGGCCCCTGACTGCCACCGCGGGCGCAGAGGGTGAGCGAGAGGTGCACGTGTCTTTCCCCCCGTCTCTTGTCCCCCCCCAGTAAGCAGCGCCCGAGAAGATACAGTCGGGGCCCTGAAGAAGGAACCCTTTTGGTTGGGGAGGGGCTCCGCGTTCCTTAAGTGTTTCACAACTTGCCTCAGGTTTTCCTTATGTTTTCGATAGGGAATCGAAGTTTAACTTATGGAAAAAAAGGGCCTCGTTCCTCATTTCGGGTTCCTTAGGTCAGCGCCCCGACTGTAGGAGCCACGGACAAGGCAGCAGGCGCCCCCCACGAGTTTTTGCACACGCCCCCGTGCATGCGCGTGACATGTGCATTGGGTTCGCTCCCCCGAAGATGCGCACGAAGAGAACGCGTGCGCTGCAAACGCCCTGTGAAGACGGCAAGTTCGCGCTGCGTTGGCGCGGACGCGACCCCAGAGCGGACATTCAAGGTTGCACACCGCCTTCGGCCCGGAAACGTCCGACGTCGAACGATCCGCGCCAGTCAAGGTTGAACGATCCACGCGGTGTCGGAGAGCACCGCGCAAGGCGCCACGACACGAACCCGCTGTGGATGTGCACCAAGACGATGCGCGCGTTGCGAACACCCTGTGAATGCCACTCGCCGTCAATGCACTCCTGGCTCCCATGGGGTCGCCGTCGTTCGCCCCCCTGGACGCCTGGGCCGCCGCTGGGCGTGCCCACCTTTTTGGCACCTGGCGCCCTTCTCCTGGCAGAAAGGCTGCTCCAGGCCGACAGCTCTTCTTCGGTACTACAGTCGGGGCGTTGACCTAAGGAACCCGAAATAAGGAACGAGGCCCCTTTTTTCCATAGGTTGAACTTCGATTCCCCATCGAAAACCTACGGACAACCTAAGGCAAGCTGCGAAACAATTCAGGAACACGGCGCCCCTCCCCAACGAAAAGGGCTCCTTGTTCAGCGCCCCGACTGTAAGAGGTTCGCCGGCCCCAGCTCGGTCAGAGACCGTAGACGGGCTAACGGCGATGTAGGTAGCGGCGATGTAGGTAGCGGTATTGTGGAAACGCGTGGCTCGCGCTTTCCTACAATTCGCCGTGTCGTGCTCTCTCGGTCCAATCCCAGACTGGGAGTGTAGAAAAGTGTGGTTCGTGATTTCCTTCACTGTGGTTCCCAACATCACCGTTACGCAAAATCGCCGTTAGCCTGGCCTTGGAGAGAGAATGTTCCGGGCCTCCGCGGCACGTTCAGGCCCGGCTGCCTCGGGATCGGCTGCGCGCGGCCAGCTCGGCACGTCCGCCCGTCGTGCCACCGCCCCTCTGTCGCCGCGCCGCGCCCGTCACGCTGCATCTCTGAGGGATCTCGCCTATCCTGCAGGCAACAATTTTCTCACTTGAGGAGAAAATGGTTGCAACACTTTTTTAAAGGCGGACATGCTTGAAGGCACGATTGTGTCTCAAGGCCAGAATTGTTCACTGAAGGCAGCAGTGTGTCACTGAAGGCGGGATTTTTACTGAGGGCACCAGTTTTGGCCGACATTGAAAGTGGTTGCCTTCAATGGCAGTCTTTCCTTGTCTCCGACGTGGGCTCGACGCGGATCCGACGTGGAGTTGGCGCAGATTCGGCACGGATTCGCCGCGCTTAACATGGATTCGAGGCGGGTTCGACACCAACACGGCGCGATGGGACAGACGAGGTCCCCCGAAGATGCAGCATCGCATTCGGCCGCCGTGGGCGCCTGTGCTCATGCGCCGCAGGCTACCTCTAGCATGATCGTCTTCGCGGGAATTGCGGGAATTCCCAGCATCGGCTTCACCCTCCTGAACGACCTGTGGAGTTACCACGCCGCCTCCGAGAGCTGGACGTCGCTGTCACCAAGCGGCGCACTTACGCGCTGACCTCTCCGATCCTCCCTCCCCCATCCATCATCCACCTTCCTTCGGATGCAACTCCTGGGAGGTCGAATTCTGACTTTGCCTTGGTCCGAAATCTGGTTTTATCGGCTTAATCCTGTTTAGTCCGGCCTCATCCCGCTTAGTCCGGTTGGATCCCGCTTAATCTGGCTTAATCCCGCTTAATCCGCGGCCCCATTCGGCGCAACAGCCTCCCAAGGGGGCTCAATTCTCCCTAATCCTTCCGACGAAGACCTCCCAGTAGTTGCATGCTAACCTTCCCCCTCCACCATCCGCTGGCAAAAAAGCGTGGACTCTCCACCTTGGAATGTCCTTCGTGTTGGAATGTCTCCTCATGGTGCCTTTCGGCCTTCGGCGACGAGGCTCATGCTTCCTGAGGGCATGGCGACTTTGCTCCAATCGATTGGCAGATCAGGCCAGAGGTATTGAGGTGAACGTGCGTAAATCAGTGAATCTATGAGCCTCCTGATCTAGAGCAGATCGCAGACGGGAAAGCTATGAGCCTCCATGGTGATCTATGAGCCTCCATGGGAATCTAACGTGAGTAAATCCAGAACCGTCTCAGGAAATCGATGGATCTCCATGGAGATCTGGAGCCGATCGTGGCCGGTCCCCGACGCCCTTGACGACACGGTCTTGATATCCGCGCTCCCCTGGCTGCGCTCCGCCTGCGGGAGGGAGGGAGGAGCCGGAGGCCTGCAGGCTGGCAGCCACGCCACTGTCGGTGGCTGCCTCCACCATGGGCAAGGTGATGAAACGGCAAGGGAGGAGGAGGAGGAGGAGGAGGAGGAGGAGGAGGAGGAGGAGGAGGAGGAGGAGGAGGAGACGGAGGAGGAGGAGGAGGAGGAGGAGGCGGAGGCGGAGGAGGAGGAGGAGGAGGAGGAGGAGGAGGAGGAGGAGGTTAGATTAGAGCAGCCCCAGGGGGAAGAGACTCGCAAGTCTTAATCGGCGGGGTGCCCATCAGAGTGGACATTTGTAACCCAGGGGCGGAGCTCCCGACACTCCGCCCTGGGCCGCGACAGGGCACCCCACCGAACAAAAACAAAATCACGCTTCACCATTCTTCGCTTCACGAGCGGCGATGCGGGCCTTGAGCGGCGACATTCGGCGCTCATACTCTGGGACCCCCACACCCTCCGCCTGAAACACTGTGGGGACCGTCGTGCGAGTCCGCACCTTCGGGCCCGTGGACGGAGGGGGAAGGTGGTGCGCACGGGCAGCACGAACTATAAACTGGCGTGCACGGTTGCTAGGCCCAAGACCTTGGGCGTACTTGGATAAGACCTCAGCTCCTTTGTGGGAAGGGCGCTTACACTCGTCCGCAAACTTTCGGGCACACCGCTGAGACCAACACCCGCACTTCAGACACAGAAACTGCAACATGGGCCTGCAGGTCCTCGGCCTGGGAGGGTTCCTGGGGTGGATCTCATGGGAAGCCACACCAACGATCAGGTGCCCCAGAGAACGGCGAACGACACTACGAACGAACGACGGGGCCCCAAGACACCCCATCACTTCGGCACTAGGGACCTCCGGGGCCAGTGAAAAACAGTGCTTACACTGGGAGCCTAAAGGTCCATCCTGCCACTCGTGCCAAGAGGGTCCCGCCCTAACAGAGCTGTGCCTCGCAAACGGGCGGTCACGGCGCTGGCGGCGGTTCCCGCACTCGGGAAGGATGGCGGCAGCCAGCTTGACAAAATTGGAGACCTGATCAATTTCACTGTCGAGTCGCGATTCAGCCTCGGGACCAATGGGAGTGTGCAACAAGAACGCCTGCTTTGCATTGATGTCGGCCTCCCAATTACTTTGCGCTATCACGCGCTCGTGAGGCGGCAATGCATCGATGACTTCGTGGCTGCGATGGGCCTTCACATGCTGTATTTCCTGGATGTGCTGAAATCCAGGCATTGACCTCGCAAACGCAGAGACTCCAGCAAACAACTTGTTGGGTCGGAGCTGCGCAGCACGGGGTAGCATTGCTTGCGAGATGGTTGCCTTACAATCAGCATGAATGTACACTGGTCGGTCTGCAACCTGACACGCCACCGCTAGGGCAAAGTTCTCAGCCATCGCTGGGGTCTGCGGGAAGCCTGCGGGAATGATCCCTCGGAGGACCGCACATGTTTTTGGGGGCGACGGCTGAAAAAGAATAACGCTGTAGGCAGCTCGTTGGAAAACAGAAAGCGTTGGCATCGTGCTACTGCCGTCGACTGCAACGTGGAGACTCTGTGAGGTCCCCGCAAACTGGACTATCTCTTCAATGTCGGTGTCAGGCAAAACATCCCCATCGCCTGTGAGCACTTGGGCAACAGGCTGGGAAGAAATCGGAGGAACATCTTCATCCTCAATGACGACCGCACCTCGCACATAGAGCCGACTGTCGGGCCCAGCCTCAAGGCCAGACTGAACAAAACTCTGCGGTACGTCGGAGGAGGCGCGAGCCTCGAGAATATTAGGCAACTGACATTCGTAGAGTCTATGAAACACTGTGTCTGGCTGAGGAGGAGGAGGAGGAGGAGGGAGGGAGGGAGAGAGGGAGGCAGGGAGTGAGGGACGAGGAGGAGGAGGAGGAGGAGGAGGAGGAAGGAGGAGCCGGAGGCCTGAAGGCTGGCAGTCACGCCACTGTCGGTGGCTGCCCCCGCCATGGGCAAGGTGATTCCGATCCTTGCCATGATCGGCGCGAACGCAATGGATGTAGGTCGGTCATGTCCCCCTACAGGCCGATTTCCGGCGAAAAAAACATATTCAAGAAATACCCCTAAATGGTAAAGCATACTAGAAAAATCGTCCCCCGACTATCTTTTAACTATTTTTGAATCTTCCTCCTGTAGAGGGACACGCCCGAATTAAAAATGGGTACGGAAAGAATGGGTACAATGCCCAACAGCAGTTCCTGCACATGTTGAACAGGACTCGCCGTCCGCGCCGCCGCGGCCTGTGTCTGTTTGAGACAGAAGGCCGCCTGCCCCTCAGCGGCCGCTGTTGGTTTGGGACAACAATTGCTGTTGGGCATTGTACCCATGTTTTACGTACCCATTTCGGGCGTCCAAACATGAAGGGAACGGGTCCTGAGGGAACCGGGTCCTCAGGCTTCTGTCGTTTCGGGTTTCCGGGGCCTTCCACCAGCCCCGGGGCCGTCGGAAAACGACCCGGGACGAAACGCTGGTCCCGGGGGAAAGCCACCGTGATCGAGGACCCGTTTCCCTCATGGCTCGTTCCCTTGCGGCCCGACGGATGACCATCAGCATCGCTCGGTGGAGCCAACCCTCGGTAGGATTTTCCTTGGGCCGTTGTTGCCCCAAGGATTACCACCAGCACCGCCCTGTAGGATCATCCTCGCCTGGTGGAGGCGAACCCCCTGTGTGGGTGCTGGCGCCCATGTCCAAGCCTCCACAGGAGGGCCAGGAGGCAGAGGAGGACATTCTACAGACATCTTGGCTTGATGCCCCACCTCCCTCCAGCGGCGACACCAGTTGGACCACGGCCGGCGGCGGGGAGGGAGGCAACTTCACGTCCTTGGATGGATCGGCGCCACCAGCTTGGAGCTTGAGGAGGAGGAGGAGGAGGAGGAGGAGGAGGAGGAGGAGGAGGAGGAGGAGGAGGAGGAGGAGGAGGGGAAGCCCCTCGGGCTCGCGGGGCCGAGGCGGCACCGCGCCTGCGGGGCGCATCCGCCACGCCGTCGCGTGGTGGGCCGACGCGCAGAAGATGTTCGTCTCCGGCGGCCCCGCGCTCGGCGGGAGGGAGCTCTCGGGCTCGAGGCTCGAAGGGTTTCGGGGCCCCTCGTCGGCTCCCGGCGGCTTTTTCCAGCCTCGGAGGGCCCTCCGGGCGCGCTCCGGGGGTGCCCAGGTCGTCCCGAGCAGCCGCCGGGGAGCCGAGTCATGACCGGAGAACCGGGGGGGCCCGTCGGCGTTCGCGCCTGCCGTCGTCGTCGTCGTCGTCGTCGTCGTCGTCGTCGTCGCCCTCGTGGTCGTCCCTGTCGTCGTCGTTCGCCCTCATCGTGGTCGTTCTTCGTCGTCTTTGTTGTCATCCTCCTCTTCTTCGTCATCTTCGTCCTTATCCTCATCGCCCTCCTCATCCCTCTGTTGCTCTTCGGGAGCTCTCTTTGCGCCCACATGTCCGACTGTCTTATCCCATTTCGCGTCCGCTCGTGGCTGACACAAGTCACCAGTCACTATCTGGTTAAGCTGGCTTTCAAGTTCCATGGTATCATCGAGGACCGCACGTGGGGGCGCTCAATCAATCAATCAACCCCCCTTCCCATCACGTCGCCTGAAGTTCCCCAAACAGTGCTTGGACTCGGTGGCCCTTGCTTCTCCTCCAAGGAGCTGGGCCCGGGCGGGCCCCGGCGGCCCCTTTCCCGTGCGTCGCCGCACCGTTATGCCAAGTGAAGTGCCCGTGTGCGGCCCCAGCGGCCCCGTTACCGCCCGTCGCCGCCGCCCCGTTGAACCCCCCCCCTGTTGAATTGCAATCGCATTGCGTTGCAGTCGCGTCGTACTGCGTTGCTGTGCATCGCATTGCATTGCAATCGCCTTGCATCGCGTTGCAATCGCGTTGCGTTGCGGTCGCATTGCTCTGCATGGACTTGTGTTGCTGCGCGTTGCTTTGCATCGCGTTGCGTTGCCTTGCATTGTGGTGCGTTGCGTCCCAGGGGAAGCTGTATTGATCCCCCCGTCATCCTCTGCAAGCAATTCTCTGCGCGCACATTCGTTCATCCAGAATTACCAGTTCTCAAGAGTCCCTTACAGACCTGGGACGAAGTGCGCACGCGCGCGTCGTCGTGCTCGCATGCCGAAATCCTTCGGAAACCTAGGTTTCATAGAAATTTCAAAACCGAGTGTCCCAACACACACACACACACACACACACACACACACACACACACACACACACACACACATACACATACACATACACATACACATACACATACATATATATATATATATGTGTACATATATATAGGTATATATATATACATACATATATATAGCACATGGTTTCGCAAGCAGGATGCTCAAGACAAGCTTGCACTCGCGCTTTTTTTGTGTGCAAATTCTGAAGAAAACCGTAGCTGTCCCAACATTTTCATAACATGCTACGAAGCGGGGCTTCGTGCGCGGGCATGTCGGAATCGTTCGAACGCCTTTGCGCGCGTGCTGTCGCAAGAATCCGTTGCAACACATGGGACGAAGTGCGCATGCGCGCGTCGTCGCGCGCGCATGCCGAAATCCGTCAAACGCCTTGGTTGTCGTGAGGATTTCAAAGCCGAGTGCCGCGAAACCAGGCAAAACCACATGGTCTCGCAGCATCAGTGTTCAAAAAGCCTGCGCTCGCGTTCTTGCGAATTCTTAACCACACCATGGGTGTCTTCAACATTTTCATCGGATTCTGCCGAACGGGCCCCTCGCGCCGCATGCCGAAATCATTCGAAAGCCCTTGCGCGCGTGTTGGGGGGGGGCACGGTCGGTTTCAAATATTACAATGCGGGCCACCTTCGCGCGTCGGGCGCGCGCGCGCGTCGAACTCCTGGCAAAACCCCAACCACCGACGCGAGGACTCAGTCATCGCCGTCGGCTTGATCAGCATCGGCGCCGTCACTGGCCGTGCCGTTGTCGTTGTCAACGCCGTCACGAGCATCGCTACTATCATCATCGTGTCTGCCGTTGTCAACGCTGCTCTGATACAGCGTTCGCGTCGGTCGCGCCATACTAGCTGGCCGCTGCGCGCGCGAGCATGCGCGGGCTAGCGCGGCCGCCGAGATGCACAAGCCAACACCAAGTACTCATCGCAATCGTCGCCGCATGGGGTTTGCAAACTAAGTTGCGGGTGGGTGGGTGGGATGATTGCGCGAAAAGCAGAGTCGACCACTTCAAGTTCGGCAGGGTGAGTTGCACCACGTAGATTGCACAACGTTGCGTCTCCGACTTAAGATGGTATTTGGATTGGCCTCCCCCCCACCAGGACTTCATGCCTCACATGCTCGTAGCACATGATTTCGAATCCTTACCAGTCCTGAGCTGTACTGCGCGCTATATGATTATTTCGTCCCTCTCCCTCTTCCCTTCTCCTCCTCCCTCCCTCCCTCCTCCCTCCTCCCTCCCCTGGGCATCGTGGTGCATATTACATATGATTATGTCCCACCGTCCATGAATTATGAATTCCAGTCATCCCGGGCGGTCCTTTGCTGGCCCCCCCGTCGCCCGCTCCCAAACCAATACTAATATCATGCGCGCGCAGATGTTTATCAAAAGCCGCCAGTTTTCAACAAGGCCTCGCAAACACTGGGGCGAACTGCGCACGCGGACGTCGTTGCGCGCGCATGCCGGAATCCTGAAACAAGACGTTGGGTGTCGCAAGGATTTCAAAGCCCAGCTTCCCAGGAAATTGTAAAACATCGTTTCGCACCAGGGATTTTCAAACAAGCATGAGCTCGCACTCGTGGGTTTTTTCTTTGAAAGCCAGAGGTTGCTCAACACACTCGTCAACTGCTACCAAACGTGCCTCTCGCGCGCGCATGTTGAAATCGTTCGAACGCCCCTGCGTGCGTGCTGTAGCGAGAAATCCTTGCAACAAACTGGACGACGTGCACGCGCGCGCACAGTCGCGCGGGCATGCCGATGTTCTTCACAAGCCTCAAGTTTCGTACTGAATTCAAAACCGGTTGTTTCGAAGACACATACAAACACTTGGTTGTGCAACATCCGTGGTCACAAAAAGTCTGCCCGATTGCTCTTGCAAAAACCTTGCGATAACCATAGTTTTTTCCCACGCGTTCAGCAACTTCGACCAACCCGGCCTCTCGCGCCGCATGCCGAGATCATTCGAACGCCCTTGCGCGCGTCCTGGGGGGCATGCTCCCTGTCAAATAATACCGTGCGGGCCGTGTCGAACTCCTTCCAAAACTTTCATCGCCGACACGAGGATACCGTCATCGTCATCGGCGTGATCAGCATGGGCGCCGTCATTGGCATTGCTGTCGTCATCGCTACCATCGTCACTGCCATCAGTATTATCACACAATCACCATCGTATCTACCTGTTGTCGACGTCGCAGTGATACCGCGCCCGCCCAGGTCACTCGCACTGAAGTGCCTGCTGGGAAGTGCCCAGCGGTCAGCGCCACCGCGGCCGCGGCGGTCGCGCCAAACTCGCTGGCCGCTGTCCGCGCAAACATGTGCAGGCTAGCGCTGCAGCAGGGATGCACCAACCAACACCGAATACTCATCGCAGTCGCCGCCGACTGGGTTTTGCAAACCAAAATGCGGGTGGGAGAATGGGATGATTGCGCGAGCAATGGAGTTGACAATCCCAAGTTTTTCAAACTTGATTTCACCACTTCGGTTCCACCGCATTTATTGCAAGAAATCATTGTTTGGGATCCGCATTGGCTAACATGGCCTGGTCTCAGAGGTAAATGGCACCAGAGGCCCGCGGGGAGAACTTTGCGGCTGGTTCGCGCCTCCTGGACGCGGCGGCGACGCCGGCGCGGGCGTTCAAGGTTGGACGCGTTCCACAGTTCGAAATCTACAGAATTCACAGCTCGATTGGCTGCCGTAGAATCTACAGGGAAAAGCCCACAGTTCGAAATCCATGAATTAGGCAAGACGGGGTCGGCAGCCTCTGACGGCCTCTGAGAGCGGAGGCCGTTCAAGGTTGAGAGCGGTTGGCGCTGAGGCACGAGCCGGCCGCATTTGGGGCCGCAGTGGATGGCTGCAGGGGGAAGACAGCAGCAGTGGTGACGAGGAGGGGTGGGGAGAATTCGGCGTTCGCGTGTATCTTGGAACGAACGATTTCACAAACACGGACTTCTGAGGTTCGCGTGGATTTCTCGGATCGGCGCTATAACCCCCTCTGGCGGCGCCTCCAGCACCGCCCCTGGCGCACTCCGCGCGCCAGGGCGTGGGGTCCAGCGCTGATCCCAGAAAGCCGCGGGGGCCTCCGTAAATTTATGTTTATGGCGTGTGATGGATGATTCTTTACTACGGTCAAGATGCTGAAATCATGAACAGCCCAGGTTCGGAAGGGACTTGCCGTCCCTTGGGTCCTCCCACGGTTGTTCCGCTAGCTCTGTCCGTGCGCCCAGGCGCGCTCGGTGCCAAGAAGGGGGCCAGTTCCGTACTTAGCATTCCTTGTATGGTAGAAGCTTACCTTCTAGGCCTCCCAGATGGGGTCGGAGTAGATGGGGTTGGAGGATCGCGCCGTATCGCTGATGCATCGGCGATGCGGCTTTATGCGGAGCCCGATTTGCTTCACGCGGACGTCGCCGATGCGTCGCCAGCGTCGCTGGTGCATCGCCAATGCATCGCCGATGCATCGGCGATGCATCGACGATGCGTTGGCGATGTGGTACGATCCTCCGACCCCATGTACTCCGAACCCATCTAGGAGGCCTCTACACCTGCATGGTGCAGCAAGTGGTCTCTTCCGGCGTTGCGTTCTGCTCCCCTTGGCGCCTCCCGCCGGCGCTTCTTGCGCCATGTTGTGCAGGGGCCTGCATATGCTGCCCAGGACGGACCCCCCGAGATATCCGCTGGCGAAGTGTGCGTGGGCCGAGATATCGGGCGATGTCCGCCGCAGGGCCAGTCGTCCTCCTCCTCCTCCTCCTCCTCCTCCTCCTCCTCCTCCTTCTCCTCCTCCTCCTCCTCCTCCCTCCCCCTCCTCCTCCCCTCCTCCTCCTCCTCCTCCTCCCTCCGCCTCCTCCGCCTCCTCCTCCTCCTCCTCCTCCTCCCTCCTCCTCCTCCTCCTCCTCCCTCCTCCTCCTCCTCCTCTCCTCCTCCTCCTGCTCTCCTCCTCCTCCTCCTCCTCCTCCTCCTCTGCCTCCTCCTCCTCCTCCTCCTCCTCCTCCTCCTCCTCCTGCTGCTCCTCCTCCTTCTCCTCCAAAGAACAGCTCGGCTCCGGAAGGGGCCCCCGTGCACCGCACGCGATCGGGCAAGTTCGCCTCCGCGCGCCGCGCCGCCAGCTCCGGCCCGCCACGTTTCCGCACGAGCCGCGGAGCAGGTCCCGGCCCCGAAGCCTCAGCGTTCCCAGCCTCGGGGGCGGACAAGAGGGGGGTGAAAAGAGGGGGGTGATGACTAGGGGGGGGTGGATATCATGGCGGGGGTCATGATATTTCCCCAGATTTCATGGCGCCTCTTCTTGTTTCATCACGTCCCTGTCCCCCCCGCTCGGTCGCGCACATGCCGCCGGTCATGATTTGCACCCCCCCTCTTGGACACCCCCCTCTTGGCCGCTCCCGAGACAAGAGGGGGGTGATGACTAGGGGGGGGGGATATCATGGCGTGGGGCATGCTACTTCCCCAGATTTCATGGCGCCTCTTCTCATTCCCTACCCAGGCTCTGCCTAGAGGGGTTCTTACGTTGTAGCTCAAAAGGGGCGGGCAGTGTAACGCGCCCCGGGCGGTTCCCCCAGTCCCCTGGGAGCCAAGCAAAAGCAAAAGCAAAGGTAAAAGCAAACGCGCAGTTCCCCCAGTGGCGCTCCCTGGGTGCCAAGCAAAAGCAAACGCAAAGGCAAAAATGAAGGCAAAAGCAAAAGCAAAGCAAAAGCATAGCATAGCATAGCATAGCATGGCAAGCATAGCGCAGCATAGCATAGCGCAGCATGGCATAGCATAGCCTAGCCTAGCCTAGCCCAGCCCAGCATAGCATTGCGCAGCATAGCATAGCATAGCATAGCATAGCATAGCATAGCAGAGCAGAGCAGAGCAGAGCAGAGCAGAGCAGAGCAGAGCAGATCACAGCATAGCATAGCGCAGCACAGCATCCACTATTGCTGCTGCTGCTATATATATATATATGTATATATTTATATATGTATAGGACGGCGTTTACCGCTCCTACTAATGTTGCTTTCCTAGAGGGTCCAACTCCTAGGTAGGGTCGCACTGGGATAATTTCAATACGGTCCCGGCCCCCCCGCTGGGCCGCGCACATGCCGCCAGCCATGATTTGCACCCCCCCCTCTTGGACAACCCCCTCTTGGCCGCTCCCGACAGCCGTTCCCAGCCTCCAGTCCAACGAAGCTTACCACCCACCAAACCACCCCAACCCAACCCGAAGGCTCGAATTTACCCTCGATTTCCGGTGTGTGGGCGGGTCGGGAAACATCGAGAAAACACATGTGGAGCCCTCGGCCCCCCAGCCCGAAATTCGGGTCTTCGGGTTGGGTTGGGGTGGTCTGGTAGGTAGTCAGAAGCAGAGCGACACGCTATCAGCCTGCAAGGCGCAACGTGTCGCAAGGGCCGCCGCCGCGGCACGCTGAGCAAAAGTTCCTGACCGCGGGTCCTTCAACAGTTGCTCCCCAAGTGCTTCGGGGACCGGAAACGGGCGTCGCTCCTTAGTTGGCGTTACCTCTGGTAGCAGCCTGGCCTGACTCTAGCGGGAATGCCGAGGTCGGCACATTTGGGTATACCCGCCGATTTCGGCCATACATAGGGCCCATACGGGGCCCCGAACATTTTGCCAGTTTGAAGCGTACCCCCATCCGCACGATTGGCATCGCCGCGTCTCGGTGCCGATCCTGAGGATCCCCTCAGTCTCTGAGGGCGCACCCCTGACATACCCATCAGAAATCTCAAGAAAGAGCATCAACGCTCATGGACTCCATATTCGGTTCGACAGAGCCAAACTACTGCACTGGACCGAACATTTCTCCTCCGTAGACTGTTCGAAGATCTGGACCTGGACTGCTGGTGGAGAACAAGCTTCGAGCGTAGTCCACTCTCTTAGCCCGAGATTCTCTCAGCTTTTCGTTCAGGGGCGCACTGCCGTCGCCCAGGGCATGTCAGCACGAGGGATGCCGAGCTCGGATGCGCGGGAGGCCTCGCGACGCAGACGGCAGGCGTCGGCCACGAGGCCGGCGGTCGCCGCCGAGCGCTGCGCGGCGTGGCCTCCGGGCGGTGCCGCAAGGACGAGGGGAAGTGGGAGGAGGAGGAGGAGGAGGAGGAGGAGGAGGAGAAGGACGAGGAGGAGGAGGAGGAGGAGGAGGAGGAGGAAGAGGAGGGGGAGGAGCGGAAGAGGAGGAGAGGAGGAGGAGGAGGAGGAGGAGGAGGAGAAAAAAGAGGGGGGAGGAGGAGGAGGAGGAGGAGGAGGAGGAGGAGGAGGTGGAGGCAGAGGAGGACTGAAGACTGGCGCTCGTGATCATGTCGGGGAGCGCCCTGCGCTGCAGCACGGCCGAGAGCACGCGGGAGAGAGCCGCCGACCGTGGAGAGAGAGCGCCGCCGGGCCCCGTGCGGTCCGCAGGCGCCCGTCCCTCTAGACGGGCGCCTGGAGGCAGCGGGCGCCTCCGAGGAGAGCCCGCGCCTGCGCACAGGCGCCCCAGGAGAGTCGCAGACGTCGGGCGCCTCGAGAAAATATCGAGGCGGAGGTCTTTCGTCGTTTTCGGCCTCTCGGGGCTCTCGCCGGGCCTCGGGGCCGTCAAAGAACGACCCGGGGTGAAGAAGCGGTCCCGGGGAAGTGGTCGGGCGGTCGGGGGCCCGTGTCTCGACAACATCGAGGCGTCGGATGTCTGGGGCTGCTCGTCCCCACAGGGCCCGCGGCACCCATTACAGACACTTGAGCGCCTCGGGAAGCGCAAAGACCGGCGTCAAAGGCTGCCCCCAGACTGCTTTCGGGCAAGCTGTCTCATCGCCAGGTGCCCGCAGGTGCCTGAGGCTGGTCAGAGCCCCACGTCCGTTTCCCGCTCCCGCCCGCCGCCAGGGGGGGGGGGCGATGACATGGGAGGGGATCAACAAGGGCGCCCCCCGAGGGCGCGAAGTCATTCGCGCTTCGCGCTGCGCGAAGCCCGAAGTGAGGCGCCCTTGATCAAGGGCCGCAGGGAAGGGACCCTAAAGAGGCCCCCCCCCTGGGGCCCCGAAGGTGCACGCAAGGTGCACCTGTATTCCCTCCCCTGTTCCTTGTCCCCCCGTCGAGCAGCGCACGAGCCTGTGGGTGTTCCAGCGATGCCAGAGGGGGATCACCACTTGGGGGGTGGCCAGCTCCTCCTGGCAATCGAGGTTCGCGGGTCGAGGCTCGAGGGGGTCCTGGAACGATCTCGAGCGTTTCGGGGGCCCCTGAGGGGGGTTGGGGATGTCCCGGGAGCCCCACCCCCTCAAGGCAGGGGCGACCCCCTCGGTGGTGACCCTGCGTGGCAATGCCTGTGTGGGTGGCCACTCCTGCCGCTTCGGGCGCGAGGTGATTCGTGCTCCCCTGTGCCCCTCCCCCCGGCCGCTCTTCCTCGTTTTCCATGCGTGCGGGTGCGCAGTTGCTGTACGGTGGGCGCCTTCGTTAAGGAGTGTGCTCAGAAGGCTTCAGACCCTCGAGGACTCCTTCTCTGATGAGGGTGGCGGTGACATCCACGGCCAATCCACGATTGGACTTCCTCCAGCTTCCAGACCCTTTCTCATCCAAGCGTTCTTCATCCAATGCCCTCACCGTAGCTCAAGATGCCGTCTCCAGAATCCGTCACGCACTTCAGCTCAGGGTCACGGGTCCGAGCGGAATGGTACAACGAACACCACAACGCACCAACATATAATGTCGTGTCCGAAGCGCTTCTGCCAGCTGTGCTCTGCCGCTTCGCAGCGATGGCGCCGCTACCAGGACCAAAGACCACCCTCACCGTGGCTCTTTCGCGACCCCGCTGCTGCCGCACAGCGCCCCCCGCCCCCACGCCGCCGCGGACAAAGGCAACAGAAGTGCCCGGTGCTGCCGAGGCCGCGCGGCGTGCGCCCCAGGCAGGGCCCCGCCCGTGCCGCAGCTCGCGGCCTGCGGCCCTGGCAGCTGCCATTGGGCCCCGCCGACGGGGTTGGCCGCGCCAGAACACTCAGGCGCGAGCTCCACCTCGGAGTGGCCTCCTCTTCTCCTCCCCCTCCTCCTCCTCCTCCTTCTCCTCCTCCTTCGCCTCCTCCTCCTCCTCCTCCTCCTCCTCCTCCTCCTCCTCCTCTCCTCCTCCTCCTCCTCCTCCTCCTCCTCCTCCTCCACAATTACCCAATATGAAAATACTCTCCCACTTCCCCTGATGGCGTCCGGAAGATATTCGGCACCCCCCCGCGTACTGTTTTTTTACACACAGGATTCCCCGGAGTTGGGTTTTCGCTTGTGTTTTTTTCTAAAATGCTGCTCTCGCTGAGGCGCCGGCCTCATTTCTGCTCCCGAATCGTTCCGAATCGTGCTCCCGCTGCAGCGTGGGCCTCATTTTCGGATCGGTGTTTGGCCTCCGTCGTTCAGGATGGCGTTCTCGCCCCAGCGCGGCCCTCTTTCTCGCGCGCCCATCCGCCCGCCAGGATGGCGTTCTCGCCCCAGCGCGGGCTCTTTCTCGCGCGCCCATCCGCCCGCCACCACCGCGCCGCACCACCACCACCACCACCACCACCACCACCACCACCGCCACCACCACCACCACCACCCACCACCACCACCCCCAACAGCACCACCACCACCACCACCACCACCACCACCACCACCACAACCACGCACACACGCACGCACGCACGCACGCGCACCACCACCCACTACGCACG